ATGATGATGATGATTATAATGCGTGCATTGGATAGATAGATGCATGAATTATATTGATTGGTGTGCATGATAGATGCATATGATTGCGTGATGGCATGCATGATAATCGTGACACATGCTGCCGGCTGTGCTACATCATTCTTACGGCTCATCACTATCTCGTCCGGATGATGATGACTGATGATTGATGATGATAATGGTGATGCATAATGATGATGATGATGCATGATGATTGATGCGTGTTGATGATGATAATGATTGATGATTAATAATGTTGATGCATGATTGGCTCATGATGATAACGCCAATGATGATGATGTCAGAACCTGCATCGGTGAGGTTCTCCATCCACTTTCGGGGACGATCTCCAGCTCGGCCTTCAGCTCCTCAAAGGTGATGGAGCCACTTGTTGTCTTTTGTCAGCTGACTCGAACAGCGCCAGACGTCCAGGTCGTCCAGTCTTCTCTTCGCAGAGAGATGGCGCTCTCACGCAGACAAGACTTTAAGAGACGTGTCCTCAGCTCGCTCTGGGATCGATGACCACTGCCTGCAGACCACAAGAAACCTTTCAACTGGAAGGAGAAGAAACACCTGGAGGAACAACCTGATACACTCAGTCAGTGGCCTAAATAGACCAGAATGCATTGCATGCACTCCTGTCTCTGTGTTGCCGACCTTCAGGTGACGGGACCGTCTACGTCGTAGACCTGGAACAGGAAACTTGAGCTTTTGTCGTCTCACATGCCGTGGATGAGCAGGTGCCAGAGGCTTTGAGTAGCTCGTCCAGACTGATGGAGCTTGCTGCCATCCGAGTCAAATAGAGCGAAGAAACGCTCGGCAAAAGAAAGGACTCGCACAACACACAACATGACAACAACAAGGTCACAGCACAGGTCAGAGTCTAAACACAGCATCAGGTTCTAACCTTGTGTGTCAGGCTCAGTGACTCACCTTTGACCTTCAGAGCCTTTTTAAACTCGGTCCAGGTCGATCTCTTTTGTCGTCTCCCGCGATGCTCTCAAACTGTTTTGCCCCACTCCAGCCACTCGAGCCGATCCCCCCATCCAGACTCATGGTGAACGTCTGTGCTGCAGCTGGAGACACACACCAAACAGTCTCATGGTCTAATCCTGACTGACGTGGGGGGGGGGGACAGGTACACGTAGGTACAGCGTCTGCGTTTACAGGCCAGGATACCAGGATCAGAACGACTCTCAGGGCTTCAGTTCCTTGAGTCCTCTGTTATCTCTACAGTGTCTCAGTAGGACACATAGTCCATCAGTTGACTCTAATCACTCTACGATGACGATGTTCAGCTTACATGAATGACCCCGAACTTTTCTCAGTTAATGAGTTTTTAAATGTGTTTTTTAATGAGTTCTTCCCATATGTCAAACTCTCCTTTTGTCTTTATATCTCTGCTCTTATTATCTCTTTATGTGTTTGTATTTGGTGTTTCTTGTGCTTCTTCCATTTCTTATTTTAATTATTCACAACGGGTTAGAGACACTTGCAGTGTTTACACCCAGGCACTGGTGAAGTCTGCGCAATTAAAAACAGGAACATTTATATAAAACACCTTCAACTTTTAGCACATAGCTGAGTCATTCTAAACATGACTGCTCTTTTCTATTTCCTTCTTTTTTGGTTTGTTTCATGTCCCATCTTTTATTTAAAGTTCTTTAAATACTGTGTTGTTACGATGAACCTTGATGAAGTCTTTTGACTTGACTCTCAGATCTGTGTTGAAGGAGCATCATCCTGCTGCTGAAAATCCACAAAACCTGGTCCTTGTCTCTGACCAACAAGCTCAACTGGAAAGGTCGTTCAACCACAAAGGGGACTCTTATTACACTCAAAGATAAAAGTTCAACCAGGAAGAAACAACAGGGTGATAAACAGAACTGTGAAACAGGTTTTTAAAAAGGCAAAATAAATAAAGTAGATTCAACAGGAAAATGAACTACACTGCAGTGGACGCAGAGACAATCAATCTTAAAACAAAACAATAATACGTTCATAAGTCAATCAGCTGCTACGTTTCTGCTACGCTGAGGCTGAAAATGCTACCTTTTCTTTGACTCAGCTCATCTATTTATGTTGTTCATTTGATGAGATTGCTGATCTCAAACTCTCATGTGCATCTTCGTTATCTCATCCCTATCTCCTCTCCATCACGTCTTTATCTCATCTCATCTATATATCTTCTTTTTAGCCTCATCTATGTCATCTCTTATCCCGTCTATAAACTCAAAAAATCCTTAGTCTCATCTCATCTATTATATTATCTTTTATCTAATATAATACTATCTTTATCTCATCTATTACCTCCTGCTGCAGCATCACCAGTAATAACAAGTGTTGTTGTGGAGTGTGCGGCTCGGCTTCGAATAGGTCAAACTTTCATGAACAGCTGAAGTCGCCTGTTGGACGTTCCTGCTGTATTCCTACAGAGGGACGTTCATTGACAGACTTGCATCATCATTTTAGGGATGTTGCCATTGGAATGTCACAGGGAAAGAAAGACACAAGCAAACACACAAACTGTGGCCAAAACGTATGAGAACAAACAAACCAACAAACACAGCTCTTCCTCCATGACAGCCTGATCACCGACTTCCTGTTTTCAGTGTAACATTTAAAATATAAACAGAATATTTACAGGTCTTATCATTAGAAATAAATCCATGAATCATCACCTTCGGTTCATTATTTTCCTGGTTTCTAAAACATCCAGCAGTCCACATTCGATCATTCATGACAATTATTTTCAGTCACATAGTTTTCATTTAATTAATTAATTTCTGAATATGTTTCAATGATACAGTACAAAGATATGAATTAAGTGGCTCATTAATACAGATGATTTAATGTTATTGTTTGCTGATCGTTACCCAAGTCAAAAGATGTTTCCTGTAACGTGAGAAGACAAACACAAAAATCTTCAGTCTTGTTCTTTCTTAAATGATAAAAGCAGCTGCACGCGTAAAGTTTGACATTAACTTGCTGCAGAGTCTCAATAAATAAAAGAAGTAAATGAATCTTTAACCTGCCGCAGTGACAGTGCTCCGTCCTGCAGCTGTTTCAATGTTGATGTTTCTGAGTGTCTCCTCAGTCGTTTTTCTCCACACGTCCTCGTCTGTGTCAGCTGGAGCTGACATCCCTCCGGCCCACTTGAGCGAGGCTCGCCTCTAACACGACAACAGCTGTTTAACAATCTCTGGTGCCGACGAGACCTAAATCTACATCAGAAACAGGACTGAGTCCAAGGAGTCCAGAGTCACTCAGACTCAAAGCTTGATCACACAAACACTTTTGTTAAACTCACTTGTCAGGAACAGAAACAGGAAGTTCAGAGTCAACACGTTTCAACCTGAGTGATCGACAGGTTTCTGGCATTACAGTTAATTAATACATTATAAGAAACAGTTATTACTGAAAGCCACGAGAGGCAAGTGACTTTTTTTTCTGGAAGACAGAAACAAAAATTCACAAAAAACAAAAAAAAAAATGCTAAAAAGTTTAATTTTGAACAGCAAAGGCTTCGTGTCAAAAACACAACTGGAGGGTCAGCGTGAGATAGACATGGAGCCAACAAAGGCCCACAGCAGGTAATCACATGGACGTATGTTATGAGTCTCATTATGTTTATTTCATCTTAGTTATACTATTCTTTTCATTTTTTCTTCATTTTTACTTCAACTGTTTTTTTAGCTAAGCTAATTTTGCTGTTTTGAGCAGGATGTTTGTGTGTAAAATGTTGTACTTGATTATTAATTGAAATATTGTGATCATACTGACCAGAATTCGATCATCAGAGTCGATGCTGGATCACACAGCTGGTGCAGTGATGGACATTGATTGACATTTAGACCCAGGTGCTGAGAGAAACTCTTCTTATTAGAGCACAACACAAAACTTCAGAGGAAACAGATTTTTAAGGCACGTAACTCTCTGCCCGATAAACAAGACAGAGAACTGAACACAAGAGTCTGGACTGTGCAGGTGAGTCCGCTCACCTGGATCAGCACACTCACAACGGACTCATTAAAAAACATCATTAACTAAATTAAATCAAAAACTGGATTAAACAGCTGTTGCGACATTAACCCCACTAATATGTCAGAGCAGAGGACCGCCTGTCTTTCAGTCTTCTTCTTTCCTGCTGTTTTTATACAAACTGTATTCAAGGCTCCACCCTGTGGCTGCTCAGGTTCACTGTATCACCTGAGGCCTGACCACACATCTGGCCAGAGGTGCGTTTCAACCATGGAGCTGAAACTGATCAAGTTTTTAACAAGACTGTTGTTTCAGTGTGAAAAACCACTGAACATGTAGAACATGTTCATTCCAGTCTGATCCGGATCACATGAAAACCCTGAGGCCTCAGACCCCGTCCTTGAAACAATCCCATGTATGTTCGTTAGTTTGTCTGGTCGATGATGTCAGCTGATGCTGAGTCAGCGATGCCTCATGCTGTTGCGAAAGCAGAGACGGAGACGGGGGTTCGTTCAGGGTTCCTGCCTGGTCCTTCGGTTCTGGATCCTGGTCCTGGTTCCTCCATCATGATGGCCTGCAGAGCCTCCAGACCCTCCACACACACAGCTCAGACACTGCCGCACCACCTACACTTTGCTGTCCACCACATCCAACACTGAGAGGACAACACACCACACACACCACACACCACACCACACACACACACACACCACACACACAGATACACAACACACACACACACACAGAACCACACACACACACACACACACAGAATTACACACACACACAACCAACACACACAGATACACACACACAGATACACACACACAGATACACACACCACACACACAACACACACACACAAACAGATACACAAGATACACACACCACACACACACACACACACACACACACAAGATACACCACACAGACACACACACAGATACACACACACACAAACAGATCACACCACACAGACACACACACAGATACACACACCACACACACACACAGATACCACACACACACACACACACACAGATACACACACATACACACACACACACACACACACACAAGATACACACACAGACACACACAACACACAGATACACACACACACAGATACACAATACACCACATAACCACACAGCACACACACACACAGACACACACACACAGATACACACATTACACACACACACACAGACCACACACATACCACACACACACACCACACACACACATACACACCCACAGGGATAACACACACACACACACACACACACACAGATACACACACAGACACACACACACACACACACACACCACACACACAGATACCACACACACAAACACACACACAGATACACACACACACACACACACAATACACACACTACCACACACACCACACAGATACCACACACACAACACACAGCATTACACACACACACACACACACACACACACACAGATACACGCATACAACCACAACAACCACACACCACACCACACACACAGAACACACACACACAGATACACACATACACACACACACACACACACAGACACACCACTAACACACACACCACACACACATTACACACACAGATACACACACACACACAGATACACACAACACACCACACACCATACACACACACAGACACAGATACACCACACACACAGATAACACACACACACTCACATACACACACACACACACAGATACACCACAACAATTTATGCTGAAGCGCTGTTCATGTGTCCTGTAGAGAGTGTGTGGTGTGTGTGTGTTATCTGTGCTGTGTGTCTGTTTGTATTGTGTGTGTCTGTGTGTGTGTGTGTGTGTGTCTGTGTGTGTGTGTGTGTGTATCTGTGTGTGCTGTATTCTTGTGTGTGTATGGTGTGTTGTGATTGTGTGTGTGCTGTGTGTGTGTGTATTCTGACTTGTAGTGTGTGTGTATCTGTGTTCTGTGCTGTTGTCTGTGTGTCTGCTGTGTGGTTGTGTGTGTGTGTGTTGTGTGTGTTGTATCTGTGTGTGTGTGATTGTGTGACTACTGTGTGTGTGATCTGGTGATGTGTGTGTGTGTGTGTATCTGTGTGTGTGTATCTGTGTGTGTGTGTATCTGTGTGTGTGGGTTGTGTGTGTGTCTGTGTGTGTATCTGTGGACTGTGTGTGTGTGTGTGTGTGGTGTGTATCTGTAGTGTGCCCTGTATCTTGTGTGTGTATCTGGGTGTGTGTGTGTGTGTGTGTGTGTCATGTGTGTGTATCTGTCGTGTGTGTCTGTGTGTGTGGTGTGTGTGTATCCTGTGTTGTGTATCTGTGTTTGTGTTGTGATCTGTGTGTGTGTGTGGTGTGTGTGATGTGCTGTGTGTGTATCTGTGTGTTGTGTATCTGTGTGTATTGTGTGTGTGTGTATCTGGTGTGTGTGTCTGTGTGTGTGTTGTGTGTGTGTGTGTATCTTGTGTGTATCTGGTGTGTGTGTGTATCTGTGTGTGTGTGGTGTGTGTGTGTGGTGTGTGTGTGTGTGATGTATCTGCTGTGTGTGTGTGTGTGATGTGTCGTGTGTGTGTGTGTATCTGTGTGTGTGTGTGTGTGTGCTGTGTATCTGTGTGCGTGTGTATCTGTGTGGTGTGTGTGTGTGTGTGTTATCTTGTTGCTGTGTGCTGTGTGTGTGTGTATCTGTTGTGTGTGTATCTGTGTGTGTGTTGTGTGTGTGCTGTGTATCTGTGTGTGTGTGATTGTATCTGTGTGTTGTGTGTTGGTGTGTATGGTGTGTGTGTGTGTGTGTATCTGTGTGTGTGTGTATTCTGTGTGTGGTGTGTGTGTTTTGGTGTGTGTGTGTGTGTGTGTGTTGTGTATCTGTGTGTGTGTATCTGTTGTGGTGTGTGGTCGTGTGTGTGTGTGTGTGTCCTGTTATGTGTGTGTGTGTGTGTGTGTGCTATCTGTGTGTGTGTGTGTGTGTGTGTGTGTGTGTGTGTGTGTGGTGTGTGTGTATCTGTGTGTGTGTGATGTGTGTGATGTGATTGTGTATTGTGTGTGTGTATTCTGTGTGTGTGTGTATCTTGTGGTGTGTGTGTGTGTGTGTGTGTGTGTTATCTGTGTGTGTGTGTATCTGTTGTGTGTGGTGTGTGTGTGTGTGGTGTATCTGTGTGTGTGTGTCTGTGTGTGTATCTGTGTGTGTGTGTATTCTGTGGTGTGTGTGTGTGTTGTGTATCTGTGGGTGTGTGTATCTGTGTGTGTGTGCTGTGTGTGTGTGTGTATCTGTGTGTGTGTGTATCTGTGTGTGTGTGTGTGTGTGTTGTATCTGTGTGTGTGCTGATCTGTGTGTGTGTGTATCTGTGTGTGTTGTGTGGTTGTGTGTGTGTATGTGTGTGTGTGTGTGTGTGTGTGTGTGTGTGTGTGTGTGTGTGTGTGTGTGTGTGTATCTGTGTGTGTGTGTGTGTGTGTGTGTGTGTGTGTGCTGACCGGTCAGACTGGTCTCCGTCAGGTCTCGTTGTGTCTCCAGGATCTCAGGGATCCTGATGAAGGCCACTCCCACGTCCTCACACTCTCTCTCCTGCTCCTCCTCCTCTGGAGGTTCACTCACCACCGTGAACCGGATCCTGGTCAACAACAACAACAAAAACAACATCAACATCAACAACAAGCTGTTTCCCTCTGTCCTCAGGTGTGTTCTCACCTTTCCATCGCGGGGTTTCGTCCCTGCAGGACGTCCCTCAGCAGCTGCCGCCTCGCCCCGTTGTCCTCAGCGTCCACAGGGATGACTGAGGAAGAGCAGACACATAGTGTGAACGTCACACGACCCTCCACACTACACCTGTTATTATCATGTTCAAAAGGAGCCCAGAGAACTACAGAGAGAGCTCAGGTGAAGAGCAGGTGTGAGAGGGAAGACTCTGACTCCTCCCTCCATCAGCTGTGACATCAGAACATGAGCTGGAGTCACAGTAACACCTGATCAGCAGCATGAGCACAGATCTGGTCCAGGATCTCACCTTTGCTGTAGTTGAAGTTGATGCTCTTGCCCTGGGGGGGTTTGGGTAGAGAGAGGGGCGTCTCCTCCGTGGGCAGATCCAGGAAGGAGTACTCCACAAACAGACGCACCACGCTGCTGTCCTGGGCCATGCGAGACTCTGCCCTCAGGCTCAGAGACACCACCTCCACCCGAACTCGCTCCGAGGACTGAGGACGAATATGGACCAGAGTCTGTCAGGGTTCAGGTCTGTGACCCCTCCCCCACCCGATTCACTGATGTCACTGTGATCTCACTGTGATGTCACCACCAGTACACTGTGATCTCACTGTGATGTCACCATCAGTACACTATGATGTCACTGTGATGTCACCACCAGTACACTGTGATGTCACTGTGATGTCACCATCAGTACACTATGATGTCACTGTGATGTCACCACCAGTACACTGTGATGTCACTGTGATGTCACCACCAGTACATTGTAATCACACCAGTACACTGTGATGTTGTTTAGGTGGAAAATATAAATTAGATATAATTAGTCTCTCCTGATTGGACGGTGGTCTGACTCTCTATCAGTATCAGCAGCAGAGAGTCAGATCAATAATGAATGTTTAACGAACAGAAACACCTTCACAAATCACTGCACGGTCAAAACATGAGCCCAGACTCCATGGTAACAACACCGCCACCGATTTATTCCTCCTGTCCTGTCCCGGAGGGAGGGGCTTCACTCACCTTCCTCCCCGTGGCCTGACCCTGAACGATGCAGTCATCGCTGTCCGACTGAGTCGATTCACTCTGATCCTGTTTGGCTGCTGAGGCTTCCTCCACATCTGGATCAGGGAGCAGGAAACAAGACGACTGTGATTGTGAGTGAGGGAGAACAACAGTGTGTTTTTAAGAAGGAAATAAACAGTGAATGATCAAGGTGTGAACACACAGGTGGCTCAGAGAGAGGGGGGGGGGCAGAGAGAGGGGGGGGGGGGACAGATAGAGAGAGAGGGACACA